CCCGGCGATGTTTCCCCCCTTCCCCAAAAAAAAGGGTGGGCCTTTTTGGGTTTTTTTTTTTTTTTTTTTTTTTTTTTGACGGCTCCTCAGACTGCGAGTTTTGGGAGCACTTTGGGGCTGCTTCTGCCCAAGTTTACAGTTTGTCCAACTGTTCTTTGCGTCGTCTCTTGTTGTGCCTTCTGGCTTAATCTGTCACTGACGCAAGAACAGAAATTGTGGAAAATCAGCTTCCAACTCACTCACCGAAAACCAAAAGCTTGCCAAAAAAAATAAAAAAAAATTGCGTAAAGCACTGTACTCATACCATTACTCCCCGTCTTAGACACAATATGCAGCTGCAGACTCGCATTCTCGAGACACACCTCCAAGTCCCCTGAACTCCTCCCACCCGCGCCCTGATTGGCACAGGTGCCCGACGATCACCCCAAACTCCGCTCGACTCCGGCATGGTGCGCCGTCCCATTGGTTGGCACAAGACGCCCGAGACCCCACTAGAGTCCGTGCTTCGGCTGGCTGTGTTGCACCTGTCACCCCGAAAACAGCAGAGATAAATTCTGGGATTTATTGGCATCATAAGTAAAATAGAGCTGACTACTACTTATCGGTGGCTTCCTTGCACTTGGACAGACCTCATCAGGATCCGATAAGATATAGCTTCATTTTGGAAGAGTCGGTATGCTGTTGTGCTTTTCTTGTGGAGCAGTGAAATTATATAGAACTGGAACAGATTTAATTAAAGGTCTTCCTTTATGTATGTGCAGCTCTTTGGGAATCACTTTCCTCTTCATTAATTTTCCTCATTTAAAGGCTGATGTCAAGAAGAATATTTTGACTGCAACATTTTGAACCCGTTTTCATTCTAGCAAAGCAAAATTATAATCAATGGCAATGTCAATATGTTTAAAGTTATAAACAAGTAAGACTCGTAATCGCAAAAACGGCCTGAAATATTGTTTTTAAACCCCATTCCATTAATTAATGTTCAAATAAAATTGGATATTGCTGTAGACTGATTAGTGTGGATTAAGATTCACTGAAGACATTTAAGCAAGCAAATCAGTAAGAAAAATGTGAGCTATATTAGTTGAAATAGCTCAACATATTTAATCACAAATAAACACAAAATATAATTTTTGAGGTTGGAGAGGAATGTTTGCAGTATTTGGGATATGCTTTCAGTTCATCCAGACTATTTGTTTTTCAGTTATAGAACTTATTTATAATCAATAATACCAAAACAGAAAAAAAATATATATATCATTAGACCGCTTCAGATTAGAACCCCTACACTGATCATACTGCCAACTAATGGTTGAATGTTTGATTTTATGATGGACAAAAAATATCCCATTTGATCCCATAGTTGCAGATTAAAATGTGGTCAGATACACAGATACCATATGTTATATAATGGTAAAATTATTATTATTATTATTTTTATGTTGTTTTAGTTTCCATCTGGGCAGAGGGTCGTATTTCAATGATGCTGTAATGAGAAGTGAAGTGGCCATTTTTTTAACCTTGACAAAACCACTGACGCCTGGAAAATCTCATCCCATTAGCATAAAAACAGGGAAAAACACTGAGTATAAAGTAGCTAAAATTGTTCAATTCGGACCCATAATGGTCCGAGGGTTATTTGGTTTAAAGATTCTTCACGGATTCTACTAAAAGTAAAAGATGTTTTACCAGATAATGAAACATTCAAAATAATATCCAAACAGGGATTGGATGATATTCTTATTTAATCCAGTTGTATTTAACCAGAGCTACATCTAAAACATCAATGGCATTGACCCCAGACTCTGAACTCCACTGACCTAAATAGAAGATCTAACATTATAAAGACTATATGGTCTCTCAGAAGATTAAAGAAAGGAGTTTGCAGCCTAATTTTGTTTTGAGTCTAAATAAGAAATGAAAGGGAGAATAAATTCAAAATCTTTGAATTTATTTACACCTAAGCCAGCAAGCTGCTAGCACTAGACCCAGCAGAACAGAACAGGAAAGGAATGCCAGATGATGCTAGGAAGTTATACTGTGTAATGCTGGAAAAAGGTCCAAGGTAGATGAAGGTTAATTCGAATCTTCTGCAGCTCTACATCCAAATAACAAGCACAACAGAATCTCGAGGTTGAGTAGGCCTCTTTGGTCCCTTGGACCAGAGGTTTAGGGTGTTGAAGCAGAAACGCATCTAAAAGTTACAGGACCTCAACCAACCTCCAGTTGCTTCTAGTTTCCATGACGGTCTGAACTACCAACCAGATATAGGCTTAAGGAAACCTGAGAGATCATTTTTCAAAGAGCTTTTGAGCTATAAAGCACTTTCTTTGCACAGATGATTGATCAAAATCACAATCACTTACAATATCCAAAACACTGTTTCATGACCTTGGATGTTTTTACATTCAAAGTTGCAACCGTGTAATCATAGGGAATGAAATTATATTTTCACATCCAGGGTTTAACAAGTTAGCCAGTATATTTCAAAGTACAACTCAGCTAGGATTACTTCCCACATGTTAGACAATCTTCCTGACAGAGGTCATTAGTAAGTTTAGATCAAGATGCTGTTGTGCTTGTTGTGCTACTTGCTCTACACAAAAAGTAGTGACTTTGTGATGACTGAGAGTTAACTAAGAGTAAGCAAAACAATGAGACAAAAGGTTATTGCTTTCACCAGCTGGTGCTTACTTTTTGCTCTTTGGGAGCAGGTTAAATGCCTCCTGGAGTTAAAATATGCCCACACATCTGGACCAATTTGCGACTGCATGTCCAACTCCTCTTCTCCTCTAGCTTCCAGTCCAACTTTGTTTGACTCTTGCAAAAACATGAAGACACACTGAATAGCTCAAGTTTTATAAGTCTCAAAATAGTTTTTTTAAAGCCCGGGGGAAAAAAAGAATATCTTAGCAAAGACAAAAATAAAATAAAATACTGATTATTTGTTCTTATAATTGGAGTTAAGCTGATTTTGTTTTTTTTTTGTTCTGTTGTTTCAATTTCATGCTCAACTTGGGCCTTGGTGGTTCCTGGGCCAGTGTTTAGCATTTTGACCAGTTTCCTTTCATCGGTGGATGGCAATTTACGCTTGAGATATGACCATTACCAGGTGTTCCGACAGGACAATGATGCCAAATAAACAAGAAAACTAATTTAAGAAAGTTTACGCAAGCCATCTTAATGGCCTCAGAACCACTCTGAACTAATACCAATTGAAAATGTGTGGACTTTGCTTGAAAAACGAGTAGCAGGAATCCTCTTTAATGAGGCTTACCATTTCCGGTGTCAGCAAAGGAGTCATCAAAGGAGCAGCCAGAGTTATGCAAGAAGCTTGCTGATAGTTATAAAAAGCATGCGATTGAGGTGAAACTTTCTAAGGAAAATTTAAATAAATTTTGGTGCATATGTTTAAGCCTTTCATGTGTATTTTCAACTTGTGTGGATTAGAAAAAAAAATCATAATAAATGTACATTTCTGCATCCAACCTGTATGTTTAAAATTCCGGATGTGTCGTAAGTTTATACGGAAAAAGAAAAGATCAAATAAATCCTTAAAAGTCCAACGTCTGAGAAAGATGTTGGTGGAGTTCCGCATCCAGTTCTCATATTTAATCTTAACATAACCTGAAATACATCAATATGGCTGTATGAAGTGCAACTTCACACCACAATCGGAATAGAACAGTTCAAACAAATCCTTGAAAATCCCAAATATGTCTATTGAAGCTTTCCAGTTAATTTATTTGTATAGCGCCAATGAGTAAATGACATCTCAAGGCACTTTCCAGAAAAGAAAAAATATCCAATGTATATGCAAAAATCTATTATCAATTCAGTCCAATCTTGCAAACAAATATTTTTACGCTATTGAACCTTTAAGTCTATCAGCAGATATATCAATTCAAACAATTGAACAACTTCTATAAAGGACAAAAGGTTAATATTGGTATTCATTTTAAATTCATTTTAGCCATACTTAGACTGAAGGAAGCATAGCAACTCCCATTTCACTTTCCCTTTATGGCATGCAGCATCAGCACTAATTCCTTTTAATGCAATAAACATGTATTTCCTAGCTGTCATGAGGTCACTCCTCCCCAGAGACCACTGAGTACTTTAAAAAGGAAGTTACACAATTCTCCCACCTACATCCGTTACCTCATTCATCGCTTTTCTGTTCTGCCATCAGGAAAATCTGCCAATGCAAAGCAACACTTTTGCAAAACAGGTTGCGGTCAGATTCCGTTTTCACTTTGAGGAAAGTCAAAATGCTCTGCTGTTGGATGCAATATGAATAGTGCACTGAACTGTGAGAGGCACTTCTTAAACCTTTGCTGCAGTATTGACCCCTTTCCAGTGGGGGGCAGTCCGTATCTACTCACCCAGGTCACAGAACCAGCCAGCGTCACAGTGGGAGGGGAGCAGGAAGGTGGACTGTTCAACCTTCCACCAACTTGCTTCCTGTCGGTTTGTTTGACATTGGCTTCCTATCACACAGAAGCTTTATTAAATACTCCTTCGCAGAAACGAGCTTTTAATATTACTGACACCACAAATGTATTAAGAAATATGGAAAAATTAGATCTGGCAGTGTGCTATGAGAAGAGGCTTCACTCTAAATATGCCCCAAATGGCTGCCATTTATCATTTTTAATACCAAAAATGCAATTTAGCAACACTGTGTATTTTCATTATGCATTATACATTACACTTTAAGAGCTACCCTCTGACAGTGTCAACCTAATGCTGTCAATTAGGTGTTTTATTCCAGGGATTATGAGAAGGAATAAGACGGCGGTTTCATGTGTTGTTCTCGCCGTTCCCCAGCGCCCGCTGTACAGCTAATCTAATACATAACCCCCTGATTTGTTTAATGGATGAGACTTTGCTGCTGCAAGAAGCACGCCAATAAAAGCCAGGCCCTCCAGAGGCTATTGTGCCTCATAATGATGCCAGACACACAATATGAGCGTTATGAAGCAATTTTTTATCATGCGGCGCATTGTTTTGCTCTGGTGGAGCCGTGCAAGTAAAGGCAATCTCTCCCTGCAGCATAACGCGCCTCCCGCACACTTAGATAAACCTTCAGTGTGATAAACTGTCCCAGCTACATGTGGTAGAGAAAAAAAAAAGAAAAGTTTGGGATAGAATTGCCATGATGATGCGAGTCAGATGTGGGCTTTTTATTAGCTTATGTTTTCTTTCTCACTCAGTTATCGCTTCCTTTTTGTTGTTGTTGTTGTTGTTGTTGTTGTAAGTAGGGGTAATTACAAAAAGGAAACAGTATTTTCAATTTATGGAATTTTAAACCCTACATCAGACTAAAAAGAAAATTTTTAACACATAAATGCTGGGGTACAAGCATACACTGCACATACAATCAGCACTAGTTGGGGATCTTTTGTACGAATTACTGCATTAATGCAGCATGGTATGAAGGGGATAAAGGAAACTGAAGTTGCTTTAACAACCGACTTTGTCTGCATTTTTGAGTTTGGGGTCTTTCATTCTCCTCTCCATGGCAATTAAAGAAGGTACCGTATTTGAACTTTTGGCAGTGTGAGCTCGTGCTGTTGGAAAATGGGTAAGGGTTAGGGCATCTTGTGGAGACTTAAAACTAGTGGAAACTAAGTTGACCATCAATCAGCAGATGGCAAGACTCCCATATAATCACTCACTGTGGAAATGCCAAACTGAACCTGAAGCAACTTTAATTCATTCCTTGACCTTTATTTCAAAACGAATTACAAAAATATAGAGTTCAAAAGAGGACTTTGGACCAAGTTTGAGCAACAGTCAAGTACTTTTTTTCCTCGGCCCAGGTCAAACATTTTTAACATTATTTGTGGTACAATGTACCACAAACAATGTAAACTAGTATTCCTTGTTTAACACAATATGTTTTTTAATTCATATTCTGGATACACTTGCTTGTGAAGGCTCTTGAGGCACTGGTTCCAGCTGCAGCCTCCATCTTGTAAAGCTGGGTTATAGTTCATAATCTTCTCAAAGACACAGTTATCTACATTGCTTATGCAACTAGTTCTACCATACTTCTTTGTTTAATTCATTTTAGAATTTTATTACTTATTATAATTCA